AGTTGTTTTGCATCCACACACTGATCTGTTGGATGCAGTGACCAAGTGAGTCCACTGGTCCATAGCCTCCTGCTGCTAGAGAGACGTAGATCTGAGTGTCATCTGCATAATTGTGGTAGGACACGTTATTGCTGCTTATTAACTGGCCTAATGGCAGCATGTAGAGATTGAACAACAGGGGGCCCAGGATTGACCCTTGAGGCACCCCACAGGTATATAAGGTGCATTAAATGAAACTTAACAGTTAGATGGGTCAGTCGGATTTTGTTTGGCACGTTCACGGTGATTCTCGGAGGGAGGGTGCTGTCTGGGACCGCTGGATTGTTGCCGTGTTTGCAGTGACTCAGTTGTGGCTAGAAGTGGCACATTGCACTCGCTTTTTCAGTTCGTTCCTCCATTCCATTCCTCATCCGCGTGGAAAGATGAGTGTGGCTGCAGGTGTTTTTCGCTGTGCGGTCGCTGTCTGCTCCATGCGTGTTTGCGTGCGCTGCTGGTGGTGCTGCCTTTAGTTTATTAAAGTCATGCTGGGACACCCGAGTGGATTCGTGTATAGGGCGCTCTGGATTGTGGGGCATGCAGTCGTTCTTTGATGGGGCTGTAGGCTTATGAGTGGAAAATACGGCAATGTTCAATGAATTTAATGCTATACTTTGGATAATTCCAGGCAAAACATCACCATAGAGAAAGCAGGTAGCAGAAAAGTAGCATAGTGCACCTTTAACAACTGCACATATTATTAGAAATTAATGGGACAATGTCAATTTATGGAAAAAAAAATACTACTACTAATTTGTAGAAATGAGATTTGTATTAAAGATGCATTGTATAACTTTTCTAATGATGGACATCCCACTTGTTATTGATTTAGTTTGTCTTGCATTTCTACCTACATAAAGATACAAACCATGCCAAGTTACAGGTCAGATCTGTGGAGAGGCAAACCCGCTCAGAGTAAGAATGCATGTTTTTCAAGGGACAAAAACACTTGTAATTGCCATACAAGCAGCTGGCAGGCCCCCCAACTGTTATTATTGTTATTATTTGCCTATTATTACCACGACACTGCTATTTCCAATGGCTTATGGTGTGCTTTCCATTGTGTGTTTTCTTGGTTAAAGTGCCACCATTATGCTATTAACATCTGCTGGTCCATAGGAAATGCTTGAGCAGGATTCCTATAACGCAGACAGACGGTAAATAAAGCCTCTTCTTTCATGTTGTTTTGTGCACTCTGTTTATGATGCTTTCCTGTAATTGCCTTTGTGCTTTCACTCAGCATCTGCCTCTCATTCAAAGTCTTCTGTTTGATTTCCTTGATAAATGCCTCCATAATCGTTTATTTTCACCAACCGTACTTCCGCCACAGACCTGGTTGTTATTTTACTACAACAGGTGAGATGTGTAGGTAGAGTATTGTTACTATTATTATTATTTGCATAGTATTTCTATTCTAGTTTTACTGTTTGACTGTTTACTAGTTCATTTTAAATCGTTTGCAGTGGTCCAAAGTTATTCCTGACTTACTTTATGCATTCTAAACTTCCAAATTATTCACTAAAATGAGTTTATAAGAGCTTTTCACGACAAGTGGAGTTATTGTGACTGTATTGGGCTTCTTATACAATATATCTGTTGTATTTGGAAGACAATAAACAAACATGAACGTACAATACAACTTTAAATACAATATCTCATCTTGAAACCTGACATTTCCCCTTTCTTTCTCTTTTCCCACATTAGATTGCTCATTTTTCCATAATTTCTTGTCACAACCTGAACAGGTGTAAACGCTTACATCAGATGTATCGGTTTTCTGTTTAACATGACATTTTATAGGTTTTAAAGGTTTTCATTTGCCGTGGGTTTGATACTTGGCTGCATTATGGACCACTTTGAGTGTTTCTTTATTATCTAACATAGCATATAGCATTAGCAGATGGGGTCACAGGGTACACAATAGCACAGAGGATGCTTAAACCTGTGTGTTTTTTCTCTTTGCCACAACAATAGTTTTAAATTGGATAGAAACGTTGAACTGTCTGTCTGCCTCAGCTGCTCTTAAAGAAATGTAATATTTCTGAAGCTATTTCATTTTCCTTCCTGGCATTACTGTACACCAAAAGACACTTTCTACATTGTAGAAATGATTAGATTTTTCAGTAAAAAAATATATATATACTGACTTTTATTCTAAGAGTACACCTACATACTATTAATGAATTGAGTCAATAAATAAACAGATTCACATTATGGACCATTTCCTCTTGTCCCAATATAACATTAGTATTTGCAAATATATTTGGGTATACTTGTACTCTGGTTTATTGTATTAAAAAAAAGGTACAATACAATTTCTGCTGGAGGATCTGTCATTTGCAGTCTCCATGGTTACAAGCACAAGACACCAGGCCTGTAGTTACAGATCTATGGAGTGGCGAGCTCAGTCACAGTAAGAGTGATATTTTTTGATTATAATTTGAGCAGTAAAGACACCTCTATTGAAGATGGTTAAGTTTATATGTTTAATGCCAGACTGTAAAAACATTCCAGACAAAGTAATCACATCCTCATGGAGACGAGCAGCTGTTAGGACAACCTGGTGGTTGAAAGATAGTGTGCCTTTAAATGTGATGATAATATTCCTTAAATTAATAGAATAATAAAAGGGGAAAAAAAGTGAAAATCTTAATGCAAAGTTTAAAAAGTATAATAATTTCATTCTCTACTGCCTCCATGTGGCTGATACTAGTGTCTGTGTAATTATTCACAAACGATTGCACCAACTCTTCTGTAATACAAATGTTGACTGTTGTCACTAAGCTTTAGCAGATCCAATGTCCTGTTAGATCAATTCAAATAAAACACAAACCCTCCCTTTGTCTTCTGTTAGAGACATAATACTTAATGACATATATTCTCACGGTTATCACACATTTCTAATCTCTTTCCTCTCTAATCTCATGTGCATTGATAATCCCTGTGATAATTCCTTTGTGTTTCTCGGATACAAAAGACAGTGCTCTCCTGTGATGGCGGTTTGTCATTAGTTCAGGACTACTGATCTTGGCTGGCGTTCCGAGCACTCAATAGGATTTGGTGTAATCCACGGAGCAGGGCAGATGGACACACAGGTAAGATGACTGGAGTTATTATTGGACTGGCCCTCTGCCCACCAGCCCCTCTGATAGCCACTCATTCATTACGTAATCAGATTAATGTTGGATTCGATTATGAATGCCCACGTCAAGCAATAAAAGCAACGCATTTAGTACTCTTTTATTTCTGTCCAAAAACATCCATTTTGTTTGGTACAGTTATGGATTAAGTGTTGGATACAGTAAGTGCACTGGAGTCCCAAGGCAATAGGTCAGACTGGCAGGAAAGAGACTGGCGTTGAGTCTGCTCTGCCCTTCAAGTAAAGACACGAAAATAAAGTGAGTTTTCTGGAGAATCTGCTGTATATGTTCACTGCCTACTTCAAACACAAATAGAATGTTTTTCAAGGCATTTTTTTGCTGATGTACGGATGGTTCTGTCAACGAGATCTTTAAATGCCCTGTATATAATAAAAACTTTGTCAGTAGTTGTAATATAAGCTCTTTTTTCCTTGCAAAGATAAACTGGAAAAGGTCTTTGGGCTCTTAAAAGTTGTTGGTAAAGTTAAAGTTTTAGAAAGACTTTGGGGGAACTTTTTGATTCAAAGAAGAATTGGGACTTCCACTTCAGAAGTAGGCTAATCTTTCAAAATAAAATGAAAGGAGTCCCATACATGCTGTACTTAGTAGTCAGCAGTGGTTTATTCGGTCATTTTGCAGCACTACAAAACAAAACAAAACAAAACATAGACTAAAATCCCACAGATCATGACTGAAAGGGTTTAGGCTGAAGTAAAAGGTACTTAAAATTCCTTCTCTGTATAGACTTTATTTTCAAAACACAAACTAATCTGACATTTCATCTTTGGAACCTGCATTTGACTCTGTTTACATTATCACATCAGGCTAATATTTGGCTCTTATCACGTTTAAGTTTGTGTTGGAGTCCCGTCAGCCAGCGCGGGGAGGCCACGGTGCCGACATAGACGCACACGCACACGCACACGCACTCACAAGTCCTGGGGTTTCACTTACCTGCCCGTTTACCGCTATCCCCGAGTATTCCTCACAACCATTGCAACAGTCTGGGGTGCACACTTGATCGCTGCTCAAACATTCCTCTCGCCAAAGCCATTGCTCCGCTTCCAAACTTTTCCTCGTGTTCGCTGTATCCTGAGCATATTGCGTCACACGTATAGCGCGCACGCGTGACGTCGCAAGTTACGTCAAGTCACTTGCCTTTTTTGTAGTAGATTTTTTTTTTTTTTTCTTAAAGCCTATTATTACCATAGTTTTGTTTATGGTAATATTTGTGATTTTCTTTATTAAAGGGGGAATGTGTCTATTTCTAGTGGAAGAGAAATAACACATTTTCTTTGTTAATTGATTAGGGGGCGGAGCATCGTACTATAAAGGGGACCTCTCACCTCTTGAGAAGCAGTGTGTGTTAAGGGATAAAGCTGTGTGCACCTCAGGCACCAGCTCCAGAGATCCAAGGACTGCTCAGTGTTCTTGCTGCCACAGACAGTGAATATATCTATTCTTGCTTTATTTATTTATTTGTTTTCACAATTTTGTGCACTTCTGGGAATAAAATCACAAACACAGTTTTTGACCACACTATATCATTTCCTTTTCTTCAATATGAAACCAGTACAAAGTTCAGTGTGCATGTTTTACGTAGGTGTATAAGATGTTCATAGCTGTATTTAGCTGGATTCATGTGAGTGTAGGTCTGTGCTTACAGGGAGTATGACTTTAAAGTCCTAATGTGAGTTTCACATAAACTTTAGGTTTTTGGAACGAGTCATAAGGTTCCACCTGTGGCGGGCTGTAAGCTGATATGTCCTCCTCTAGATGCCGTATTTGACGTTTGAACTAATTATCCTCTTTAATTAGTTAACAATGAAACCTTTTTACATGGAGGTGGCGGCCGTGTGCGCGCGCCTCATTATTCCACTTGGCACTTGTTACGTGTGGGTTAGCCGCTGGTGTAGTGCCCCACAGCTGACACTCCACCGCGGGGCGCGCCGAGCTGCACTGGGAAACCCGCAGGTCGCCTACCGCGGCGGGCGGGGGCTAATTAGATTACTGTGGAGCAACTGCTGCCTTCCTGCGCTGAATGCACGACTGCCTTACGACAAAACCCTCCCTTTCCGACTCCGCAGCGGCTCTCTCCCTCACCGGCTGCTGTCACTGTGCCCGCCCCCTCCCCGCTCCTCCCTGGACTCTCCGAGGCGAGGGGACGCTGGAGCAGAGCCGGTTTACAGTTACACCGCGTCTACTGCGCTTACCCTGCACTTCAAGACGTGCACCGGAGCCGTACAACTCTACAACTACACTTCAAACCGGGAACTCTAATTCTTTACACGGACACTGGCACCTTTTCTGTGACTCGCGCACCCATCCGCTGTCTTCACGTGGCGCTGCCGTCTCCCCTCAGAAGTGGGGTGCATTTCTTGGCTGGTCGCGGGAGGAGTTGTATGGATGTTATATCGTGTTTTTTCGGTTCGGGCTGTGTCTTACCGCGGCCCAGAGACACAGGCAAGAGTGTGTGGAAAAGTGCATCTGAATGTTAAACGTATGGCTTCACTGAGGATAACACGGTAAGTCCGACCGCTCAGCCTTTTGGGGGACTCTGTGGAGCTTTTGCCGATCCAAATGACGCGTAACGCTTTCTCACCGGGCGATTTTGTTGGTATATTTGATTAAAACTGTGTGTAAAATGTCAATACATGTAATCATCTTTGAACTAGTAATCAGATAGTACGCTTTACAGTGTTATATATCCTACTTCAGACAAGCCAAGAAGTTGTGCATTACAATCAAGTGGAAAAGGGCAGGATAATTCTCTGTCCATGGTGCTGATATCTTACTCCTCCGTAGGGTCCACGCTTTTTAAGTTGAAATAGACGTTTATAACCACACTGTACACAATTCTGGATACGGTGTCAGCTAGCCCCTTTTCAAAACAAAAAATTCAACAGTTTTGCTTGAGAAAATGTGTTGATGAATCTGTGGTCTACGTCTTCGTTTATGCGTTATTCTCTATAGTGCATTTTCAACTGGTGTTTCCCGTCTTTCACAAAGCAGGTTACCCATAGCAGCCTGTTTGTCTAGGATTATAAAGACAGGGAGAGTTATCCGATTACTTTGAATTACGGCAAGCTGTCGCCTCACCACCACACTGCACCGACACGGGGAAAGTCAAAGGTTGGACGCACTGGTCGTCATGGCTATGGTAAATAAACAGTAGCTTCATTGTGCATTTCAGGAGCTGGCTTGATATTTGGCCTTGTGTTTAGAGGAATGTGCAAACACTTTTGTTGATTGAATGAGGAGAGAGGGCACGAGTGTTAAGTGTTTAGTGAACCTATGTACGACCCTTACTCAAGACGCCATGTTTAATCCTTCTGGGCGCACTGGGAGACAGGGGGCAAAGAAATGTCTGATTTGTTTTTCACTCACTGATTCGTTGAATTTGAAGTGACGGGAATAGTTTATGAATGCAATGATGTAACTTAAAGCTTTCTTAACACAATGCATGGTTCTTATTCATACAGAAATAAGATACAAGTTGCAGATTCTATAGGTCTACACGATGTTTATCACCCAGATATTTTACGCAGCCTTAAAGATCCACCACTAAAGATGCACTCTGTAAATTTTCTTCATCTCTCTCCATGAAGATGCCATTGCTCTACCTAAGAATGTTCCGCAGTGTAGCTATAAACTTGTCTATCTCCACAGCAACTCGCAAGTGATGCCAGCAGGCCAAGATATGAGTCAGATTTATGGATAGTCAACAGCACTCAAAGTGAAAATGCATCACTTTCGAGGTATTTTGTATATTGCAAAACAGATAACTGCACAAAATTCCGGGCAAAGCAATGAAATCTCCATGGAGACGTGTGGAAAAGTTATACAGCGCATTTTTAAGAATACATATTATAGCTACGTTTGATCGTAACTTCTCAAAAAGCAGTTATGGCTATGGATCTCATTGCAGATTACTTCCTGTTTTATCTTTGTTGAAGTGAAATATTTGTTCACGTTCAGTACATTTTAAAGATTGATTTTATATTGCTTTTGGTTTAACCCTGTTGGAAGTTTTGTTGACAGATCTTCCCAATACTTCCTGTTTTTTCTTATCTTGTTAAGACTCTAAATTCAACCAATGGAATCTTTTCTTTGACACTGGGTTAACTGTGAAACTGTTGCAGTATCCTCACTCATAGTACATATATCTTACTTCAACATAGAGAGGAGAGGCCCACTACTACTATGATCTGTGCCATTATCCTCTAGACTGGAAAGGAGTCATCATAAAAACATAGAAACAGCTCATTTGACACTGACAGAAGGACCTCACTGCATTACAATGACAATAATAAGTGCCCTCACCACTTCACATGAAAGCTATAGGTCAATTTACAGACTATTTCAACGTGGGTAATTATATAGTAGTGTTTCTCGATTGTAACTATTGCAACTCATGTTTTCGAATAAGGATGCAGTGAACAGTAGGCATTTTTAAAAGTGCACTATGGAAGTTTTCAGCTTGTATCCGTGGGGATGATACAGAGGTTTTTTGTTTTGTTTTTTTATCGATGAAAAACAAAAACTTGTATTCATACTGGGAACTGGGATCTTCCCTCCAAAGGTCTGACCTATAACTTATCCTTGTGGTGTATGAATAGAACTAAACTTTCTAGAAACACCATCATAATCATCTCCAGAGGGGCAAGTAGAAAATGACGTCACACATCCAGGAGCATTATGTTGGAGTCTTGTTATAAATCTGGTTTAAAGTCTTGTAATTCTCTGCACTCACAATGCTCAGTGTCACTTGTACTGTATGTCACTTATCATAATCAGACAGCAGCATTTCCCTAGCCAGGATGGTGCCACCTAGTGCTGGCACTCAATTTCATTTTTCTCCAGTGACTACATTGCAAAAACGCCGGAAGTGCGAGTTTAAGCACCAGCCAATCAGTGAAGAGCCATATATTCTGTGTTGGCAACGATTCCTGAAATCGAGGATTTAAAGTCAGAACAAGGAGAATGTTCTGTGAATTTTATCAAGGGGAAAGACGCTATTGCCCTTCTTCCTGTGGGATTTGGGAAAAGCTTAATATACCAGTTAGCCCCGTTACAGACCAAATAGCAGGGATTGGATAAATGAAAAAAGTACCCGTCTACTGTCAAGCGAACGAATTCTAATGCTGCAAGGTCAGATGGTTTCTACGAAGTGAAACCGGCTGATGAATCAGGCTAACATTTGCCCACATTTACTAAAGGATTCCCAAATGGTAGAATACATTGGATCCTATTTTGTGCAGAAAGTAGCGCAGTGATCTTTAAAGGCATCTACAGGGACAAACGTTTCCAGCAGTCACTCTCGAGAGTTTGGATAATTCATTGTAATTCACAATAAAATGTATACACAATTATTAAATCACAAAGGCTGCAACTATTTCAGAGTGTTCTGTGCATTTAAAGACCTTGAAAAACTTATCAGTTCTGATTTCAGATGAGCTGTTTACAGTGTGCTCTCAGAACTGAATCATACAAATTTAATTGCAATATTTGTCAGAAATCATTATTTATTTATTTATTTATTTTCTTCTAAAACTGTGCAGCCCTAACTCACATTCACAAATATTTCCAGGTCAGCTCAGGATAAGAGTAAAAGTAAATTTTCAACATTTTTCACTTTTTAATTTATTCACATAATGTCCCTATGGAAATGAAAACACTTATAATATTATGCTAACACATGCAATAGTTTTTAGGGCATGTAGTTTCGCAGTGGTCTGAACAAAATAGGTCTTTGTTAGTTGTCCAATCTTTAAGTATTCTGTTCTCATAAACCAAACTGCTCATCAGCCGATAATGTCCCATCTGTGGCGCTGTAAACTCCCCCTTTAGATACTTTGCTTTATTTATTCAGCGGTATGGGTGTTTGGACGCTCTAGGCTACCGTCCTTAGTCCTTTATGAGTTTGCGGGTTGGGTTGCCAGGTGCCTCTGTGTATGGGATTGAGTTTACATTGAACAATACCGCTGAATTAATTGTGCCTAACAAGATTACGTGCCTGTTGGCCAAAACACCGCTTGAGATCTGCATATCTGGCATAGCAGAGCGAGGAAGGGAAACAGGGAGGCAAATTAGTATGAGACGCCAAAGTTATTTTTCCACTTTGCATTTTGATTTTCTTTGTTGTTTCTGATTGTGGAGGACAATAGATTATAACTAGGGAATGATATCGCTGTCAATAAATAAATGCATACACAGATTATAAACGCGTGGATAGAAATGCTGGTCAGAAGGTTAAGGCAAGAACTACAGCTAAAACTTGAAGAATACGGAAATACTTTTAAAGGGCCCATATTGTGCTATTTTCTTATCTATGTTGTAATGTTCATTAAAAAAACATACCTGGAGTTGTGTTTTGTTTCTTTCATACATGTTTAACACACACATGCAGCATCTTGAACAGAAAACACTCTGTTCCACTTTGTGATGTCATTTACCAAGAAGTGACGCACTATTAAACAGACTAATTTGGAGATGTTGACTAATAATAAAGGATTACTCAAACATGTGTGAATGAAACAAAACATAACCCCACGTATGTTTTTGAAGAGGTAAAAATATTCTGACATGGCTTAAATCTTCCAAGAGTCAATTTTGCATGATGTAGAACCTTCAAAGCTTGCTCACTATAATTTTTTACATTTCAAGTCAAACATTTGATAACATGTATTGCTCTCTTATTTTTATGTTGGTAATCTACAACATACGTGTCAGATTGAGCTAAATTATTATTATTTTGGCCCCTAATTTACTGATTCATGACTATTTCAGACAAGAAGACACTGAATAATAAAATAATAATAATGCATCAGTTTTATATAGTGCTTTTTTTGGACACTCAAAGACACTTTACAGAGCATTATTCATTCACTCCATACCAAGTGGTGGTAAACTACTATTGTAGCCACAGCTGCCTTGGGGCAGACTGACGGAAGCGAGGCTGCCAATCTAAGCAATTGGCCCCTCCGACCACCACCATCACTCACTCACACACCACTTTCATATTAGGCAATGTGGGTGAAGTGCCTTGCCTAAGGACACAATGACAGTTTTTTTTTACGACTGGATCCCCACTGTGGCACCTCATTTTCCTAGTGGTCTCCCATCCAAGTACTAACCAATCCCAGCTTTGCTTAGCTTCTGACGAGATCTGACGGGATCAGGCTTTGAAAAGCTGGTATGGCCACATAAACACTGTCATGTGTTATGTCCACCTGCTTGTC